GATGCAGCCCTGAAGTAGGGCAGGGAGAGGAAGCTGAGGGTGACCAGAGGGCAGCCTGGTTGGGACTGGGCCACACGGAAGGCTCCTGGAGGGGACAGCAGTAGCTTGAAAGCTGTGCAACAGGCTCTGGTTGCCACTAGATCCCCTAGAGAGGGGCATGAAGTCTCGAGTCAAAAGTGGAGCCGATGACCTGATTTTGCACACCACAAAAGGAAACAAACCACAGTCTACAAACGGCTCAGCCGAGAGCAATATTTACATTGTCACACAAAGGCAAATACTGAAGTCCCTCCACCCCAGCCTGGGTGGAGCATGGGAGGGGGGCAGTGTTTGCTTGAGAGGTGCTGATCCTGGATCTTCGGTAGTGGATGATCAATAGATAAAGTTTAATGGTGGAAGAATATTCTAGTAGCTGATGCACACACTTAAGACAATGGGGAGAAATATGGGAAGTGGGGAGTAGTTACCAGTGCAAAGCAGTTGGCTCTCAAGAATGAAACAGGTGGGAAGAAGAGGAAAACCGAGGGCTCTTATTTTTCTTTTGCAGTGGTGCTGGAGATTTGAACCCAGGACCTTGCATATGGTAGACTTGCCACTGAGCTACGCCCACACAGTAGGTTTTCTTCACAGCCTGTGGCAATTTGACGATGCACATGTATTACTCCGATAAGAGTGAGCACCAAGTTAAAAGGTGGCAGTGGCTCCTTTGAATGTGCAGAGGCTCCCCATGCTCTCCAATCATTCTGCTTCCCGCCAGGCTCCCACGACACACATGACTCTGGGAGGGGCAGCTGCCCCTGTCTTCCTCCCCCCACCCCGTTCCCATTCTGTTTTCCTAGCACAAACAGTCTTATAAATCACCTCCATGTACGAACTTGCTGATGTGTGTGCTTCATCTGACTGTTCTGCTAGCAAGAGACGGTTGTCCTCTGCCTCCTGGGAGCCTAGCCTTGTCCCCAGCACACAGAAGGTGCCCAACAACTGTGTGTGGACCAACTGGCTTCCTGAGCAGCCCTGTGCCAGTCAGTGGATCGCCGGTGGCACCATCGAAGAGACAAGCTGTGGTGGGCCTTCGGAGCTCCAGCGCTCAGGCCAGGCCAGGCCAGGTGCACACAAGCCACCCACACCCGGGGAAGAGACTTGGTTTTCCTCTGCAATTCAGTCTGCAGGCCCAGCCAGACTGCTCTGCAGGCATTCATCAAAGGTCTTCCTGCAAGAGCCTGTCAATGAGAAGGAAATGGCTGCCCAGTGGCTTAATGGCAAATGGGCAGCAGTGGGGAAAGGACTCAAGCCATCGATGGCCAACAGAAGGGAGATGCTGTCCCTGTGCCTGGGCGTGATTCCATGGAGAGACTGTGGTGGAATGAATGACTGTCATCTCTCCTCAGACCAGGTCTCTTCACAGAGTGAAAGCTGTGCCTGGCAGAGAACCTTCAGGGCCACTCCAGGAGCAGGGCCCCCCCTGAGATCCCTCAGTGACTGGGGCTCTTTCCCCATGCCAGGCCTGGAGCCTGACCTGCCCTCCTGGCAGAGGGCACCTTGGAGCTTTATCTTGGTAACTCAGTGACTTTCCTTTGTTTCAGTTTCCTTTCCTGTGCTGGGCCAAGGGTCCTCTGTGCTTGAGATGCTCCTCTGGGTGGAAGATGGTTCTTTGGGCAGTGTGGTCTGATTAGTGCCCACTTTCTCCTCCAGAGGGCAGTGCGGTGTGGGCCAAGGCCCAGCATGGCCCCTGGCCCTGTGCTTGGTGACCTTGTGGTCAGTGTCCATACATCTGAGGAGGGAATGACCACGGGGCCTCAGATTGATCCTGGGGACCTCATTTCCCAGAGAGGGAACATTGAGGTGTTCACACAGAAGTGGCTACTCTCTGAGGCTGACTGGGCTGGGAACAGAATTTGCGGGGACTGATGCCTGCACATCCTGTGGCTATTGGCAAAGACGCTTGTTCACACAAGTTCAGGACAACAAGGCTGCCAGAATGCAAACTGCATGGCTCCTCATGGACAGCGAGTCACTGTAGTTGACAGGACTTGAGGCCATTCGAGTGACACCCCTCTCCATCCCTTGGCCTGGCTAACATGACTGCTTCTAAGAAACTTCCTGGCCCAGGTCTGTGCAAGGTGCCCCCCTCCTCTGGGATGTGGAGGCTGCTGAGCACTGCATTGCCTGCTCAGAGCTGTGACCTGGGGACATTTACTGAACCCCAGGATGGAGGGTTCCTCATTGAATCTGCAGCTAAAAGCCCATCAGAGCCCGCCTCCTGCTGAGATCTAGCCCAATCTAGCCAGACCCCTGGCTCTCCTGGACATGAAAGCGGGGGCATTTGGAGTTGATCCTGTGCACCCTGGCCGACACTCCCAGGTGACACCTTGCACCTCGAGAATCACCTTCCTACACCAGCCTATCCTATAACACCCTCCAGGAACCTGGCTTTCTAAGGCTGCATTGGAGCCATTTACAAAGACCTTATTTGGAAACCTTCCCCCAGGGCTTGGGGTGGTGTAAAGAAAGAAAGAAAGGAAGGAAGAAGGGGAAAAGAGAGAGAGAGAGAGAGAGAGAGAGAGAGAGAGAGAGAGAGAGAGAAAGGAAGGAAGGAAGGAAGGGGGGGTACCACTGAATTTTTCTTTTAATGATTTTACAGTGACATGAGATACTTTTGTTTCCCTGAGAAAAAGGCATATTTCAGATAAATTATTGATGAAAAAGGAACAGCCCAGAGCAAGAAATCCTTGGTTTACTCTGGAGAGAAAGCACAGACTAGCTGGGGAGAAGCACAGATTAGCTGCTGGCTGGCACGGACCTTGGACGGGCAAACAGCTGCAGCCCAGGTCAGCCCTGGGAGGGGCTCTGCTCGCCAGCAGGCTCTGCATGCTCCCCAGGGACAAAGCCCCCTCCTTCTCCCCTCCAGCAGGGCCTGGTAGCAACAGGCTCCATTTTTGCCCCTTCTATCATCCTATGTCCATTCATTTGCTGTACCAGGGACACCCTCTCTGGAAAAGGACGTGGTGAAGGCAGAGTCCCTGATGAGCAGCCCTCCTTCTCTGGCTCTTGTTGGGTTCCCATGGTACCATTTCCGATCCTTGTCTGTGTGCTTACAGCCCCTTCTGCTGCTGGACCTTGGGGTCTCCAGGCTCCTTTGCTCCTTGGACACGCCCACTTCCCAGAGCCACGCCCACTCCCTGCTGTAGGGTGGTTTTACTGTGAGTCCCTTCTCCTCCTGTGCTGTTTCCCTTACCCTCCTCCAGCTGAAGCATTTAACACATTTCTTCAGGAGAGGTTTGGGGCACAGAGGGAGGCACAAGTGACTCAGTTGTCTTTTGTAGCTCTTAAAAAGATTATGCTGAGCATTTACCAGGGTAGTGGGCGGGCAGGACTGGCAGCCCATGCCCTGCTAAGGCCAAGAGCCTCCCTGTCAGGCTCCCCTGTGGCAGGGGTTTCCTAGGGCCCTGGACACAGTGGCCTGTTGTCTGAAATGCCTCCCTCCATCCTGAAAATCCTCCCTCAGCTCCCATGCTGTTAGGGACTCCTGTGAGGGTCACAGCGTGCTGCCAAACCACCTCCGGCCTTGGCGATTCACCACAAGCCCTCCACCTGGCACAGCCTGGGTCTTACTCTCTCTGTGCCCACGGAGGCTGGCATACACCAGATGCCCACAAAACACTCAGGAAGAGACCAGCCTTGTCCCTAGGGAGACTCCAACACATCTACCTTGGTTTCCCAGGCCAGGCCCCTGGCTGGAGTTATAGGATTTCAGAACCTTTCACTCTGTGCTCCCAGCCACAGAGAGGGACAGACAGCCTCACCACATCACCAGGCCCCCTCTTCTGCACCCCCGAGGAAGGACAGAGAGGAAAATCAGGGACTCTGCCCAGGCCAGCCATGGAAATGAACTTGTCAGCATCGAGTGTGCAAAATGGTACAGCAGTCAGGGCTGGGCTTTGGGGCCACATGGTTCTGGGTTCAAATTCTGCTTCCATGGCTTCCCAGTTGTTTCATTCTGGGCAGTCCCCTAACTCCTTAGTGCTTCAGTTTCCTCACTGGCAAAGGGGCACTGACTGAAAAGACAGAGTGAAGATGAACTGAGACTACTGACAAGGAGGTGAGCCCAGGGCTTGGAAGGGAATTATGGGAGTGCACAGTTCTTGTTTATTGTCACTTTTGGAGATTTCCCTGCAGCCTGAGCATTCAGGGTAGGAAGGATTCTCGGCTTGGTTTGGGGCAGACGCCCAGGGCATGGCCCATCCCATGTGCAGCTGCCACCCCCGGTCCTGCCCATCTCTTGCCTCTTCTTCCTGGTTCCCAGAAGAAGCCAGTCTGTTGGCTTTTCATGGCCCTTCATCCTGTGTGCCCGAGTCTTGTTTTAATATTTTTAACTCTACATGTCCCTCTTTGTGCTTTGGAATTGCTAAAGTGAAATTGCATAGAATAGATGATTAAAAGAGAAAAATATTTTAGGTGTTATAATAATAATAATTATTATCATTATTTCTTATGTGGACCCTCTAATTTCACATCTTGGGGAATTAAAAAAAACTTTCTTAGGAATATTATAAAAACAATTCCTATTACTCTTTGACGTTTTCCAAACTTTTGGTATTACACTGGCCTCACATAGAACTGATGTTCATCAAATACTTGTAGAATCAAATTTCTTTAAAATGACCAGGGGATTATGTCTGAGATCAATTTTAACACATTCCAGCCACGAGAAAAATAAAAGAAAAAGGAGGAAATAAATGTGCAAGTATAGCAAAATGTTGGTCATTTTTAAACGTCATAATAAGAGTCCTTTCCGCTTTTACAGCCTCTTTTTGGTCTTTCCTGGAGGGCCAGGCTTTGGCACTGAGGGACACTCGGCCTTTTTTCACTTTTTGTTTCTGAGACGGGCCCTCGCTAAGGCCGGCCTTCCTTCTGCTCCTTATATGCTCAACAATCTTTCTAATTTAAAACGTGACGCGGGTGGCAGCGGAGCCTTCTGGGCACAGTGGGCAGGCACTCACCTTTTTATGGCTTTGTAGCAGATGATGACAAGGACAGTCAGAAACACCAGAGAGGCACAACAAACCGCAATGACGATCACCAGCCCCGACCACCAGCTTTCCTCGGCAGGGCACGAGGTAGAGTTGGGAGCTGGAAGAGACAGGAGCAGCCTGAGTCTCCCTGCAGGACAGGGTCGCGCTGTCACCCTCTGACCTTTCCTGCCGTCCCCGCCCCCACCCGGAAGCGGATGACGTCATGGCTGCCCCCCAGCCAGGCCCGGCCCTCGCAGAGCAGGGGTTAAGCGCCGCGTCTACCATCCATCCTCCCCTGGCATGAGCTAACTGACAGCAGGGTCAGGTTTAATTTCCCATGAAAAATAACAGAACATCTCATTCTCTCAGATGAGGCATTAAATCCGGTTTCTCTGCAGGTGGGGGCGGGGATCCAGTCTCAGAGGGGACTCTGGGGGAGGGAAGAGAGAAAAGGAGGCCTGTCAGTGTTGGTTTCTTGCAGGAGGCTGGCTCTCCGGGGTCTGGCCCAGGCCAAGGTACCTGCAGCTAGCTCTGCCTGCATGGGGGTGGCCAGAGCTGGGAGGAGTCTGTTTGCGACAAGGGCCTCCCACCCTTATGGGATCCATGGACTGTTTGGGGTGAACCTGCCTGGGGCAGTGCTGGGGTTCACCCAAAGCGTAGGAGAAAAGCAAACGTGCTCCATGCCCGCATCCCGGAGACACTGAGGAGACCCAGCTACAACTGGAGAGAAGAGCAGGGGACTGCAAAAGGAAAGACAGAAGAGGGAGGAAGGCGGAGGGAAGAGGAGGAGGGACAAGGAGGAGGGAGGGAACATGGTGAGGGAGACAAGGGATGGACAGACAGACAGTACTACTGGCTTTAGGCAGGTCTTCAAGACAGGGATACAGGCAAGGGAATCAGAACTACAGCCCAGCCTCTCTGCACTTCGTCATGGGCACCTTCAGGACTGCAGTCTCGGTGGGGAGCAGGTGGCTGACCTTCCTATTGCTCTCACCCAGGTGTGAGTTCTACCCACCTGCACCATCGGACAAAGGCACAGGGCAGCTGGAGCTACCCCATCATGACAGAACCCTTCCAGCACCCAGACAGACACCCCTGTGCCACCCTGTAGCCTGTTCTCACTCTGGGGCGACCACTACTGAGCTCTAAATCATTAGATTTGCTTGTTCCTGACATATAGATGGACTCACGCCAGGTGCTTTTTCCTGGTTTTTGCTTCCTTTATTTAGCACAGTGGTTTTGAGAATCATCCGTGCTGCTGCTCTTCTCTGAAGTTCCTTTCTTGTCATTGCTGAACAGCAGTCCATGTGTGCGCCACAATTCGTTTACCCGCTCACCTGTTGGACACCTAGGCTCTTTCCGGGTCTCTAAGTACTGTGAAAGTAAACACCTGCACAGACACGCTTTCATATTTCTCTTGGATAAACACTAGGAGCAGGATTGCTCGATCCTGTGGTGTGTGATTCATTGTAAGAACAGGCCCGGGGCTTTTCCCAAGTGCTCACACTGTTGTGCCCTCCCATGCAGAACAAAGAAAGACAGAAAGGAGATGGAGACAAGGGAGTGGTTACAGTTTGTAGCTGAATTAAAGGCAGCTGATTAAGTGGTCCGGCAACCATTATGTGCCTCCCAGGGGCCAGGTACTAAAACCTCATTAACAAATGTGAGGTCCCCAGGGTTGGACCTTGGATCCTCTCAGAGTCTGAGCAGAATCAGTGAGGCTTCCTGCGACCCGGCTGGGACAGGGATACCACAGGGCTGCTCTGCAGCCCCAACACTACAAGATGCAGAGAACAGACTTGAAAATAGGAAGAAACTAACACAAAGGGAAAGAGGGCCAAAAGTGTTCACATTTCTCCTGTGATGAACCTGTCCAATGCTTTTTTGATGAGCTATCAAGCTGGACCCACCCGTGATTCCTCAGCTTGGGGTGCCCCTGCCTTGCCCGAGACTTCCCAGGGTGACTCAGCACAGATTAGGGCTTCTTCTTCCCCACGACAGGGCAGCAGCAGCCCCAGGACTCACAAGTGCAAGTGGACCCCGGGGCTGTTCTATCCACCCCTTGTTTCCACCACCGAGGAAGCAGCGGTGTCAGCAACTCTCACTCCAGCTCTAACACCTCTGGACAAGTCCCCAGGGCCTCACATTCCCAGGGTTCCCCAGCATCCCCTGGCTGGGAGAAAAAAATCTACCCTTTTTGGTCATGGCCAGGGGCTGCACCTTGGTCAGTAGCTATGGGACATATGGGGGTGGGGGTTACCTTTGGTCAGCACAATGAGCGATCCAGCAGCTCTGGACGCTAATGCCAGTGAACAAGTTATTTCCACAGAAGGTAGAATTGTCCTTTGAAAAAAAGTGCCAAGAGGATCCCTGTTCAGAAATTCCATCAACCTGGAATTTGGTGCTAGATTTCAGTGCCTCTTCACCTTACATTCTCTAGTATCGGTGTGGGAATTTCTGTGATCACTTTTCCAAACATCAGTTGGTCCTGAAAGCAGGGAGTCCTGGTTGAGAGCGTTCTCTGCCTAGGGTCCCCCTCTGGTGTTCAGCAGGGTACTGATCACCGTGTGCACAGAAGGAAACAACCCCAGGCAGAGCTGCTAATGGATAAGAAGACGGGGAGGCATTTGTGAAACACAGTCGAGGCACGGGTCTTGGATTTTGTTCAGGAAGCCAGCTGTTGTGTTCAAAGTCTGCATCCTTATTTATCCTTGCTTGAGTCATTTAGAGAATGCCGGAGCTGCAGGAAGCCTGGGGAGATGTCATTTCAGAAGAGAATAAATACTGAGGCTCAAGATGAAGAAGCAACTTTCCCAGGGGACAGGGTGAGGACCCTAAACTTTGGGCTGCCTGCTAGGCCTGCCCCTGCCTCAATTTCCCTCCCCACTGGGGGTTACCAGTATCTCACTTCAGAGCGGACAAGCTCGCTTATCATGAGGACATTCTGCTGGTTCATATTCAAGAAGACAAATCCTAAAGGTGCTCGTTCGTTCATTCACCCACCAGACACACACTGAGCACTCTTGGTACCTAGCGCTGTGCTAGGAGTTGGGAGTACAAAGATAATCAGACATAAACAGCACCTGTACCAGGCCCACACCAGCTGCACTATGTGTCATTACAAAGTGGACTAACATCTGATCATCTTGCTCAAGGAGCCAGGAGTCTCCAAAAGAAGAGCCATGCTCGAATCACTGATATGCAAGGTGAAGCCCCTTATGGCTGAGAAAGGATGTCCTGGGTGCTGAGATGGATCAGGAGTGACAGTAAGGCCTTCTGAAGGGCAGGTGGCCAGACAGGGGAGGCTGAGACAGAGTGTCAAGTGCCAGCAAGGAGGCTGTCTAAGCTCTCTGTCACTCCCTTTGAATGTGACAGGAAGGCAGGAGTGTCTTGACCCTGCTCTGGTCACAACACTCTCTCTCCCAAAACTGTGAGGTTTAGTCTGCTGTGCTCCACGAACACTCCTGATGCCCGCAGACCACATGAACGGTGGCCAGGGAAAGTGGCTTAGAAGGATCCAGGCTCGGTCCTGCTTAACCAGAGAAGCCATGTCTGTTCAGTTCAGAAATACATTGGTAGAAGCTTTGGGACTTTTGCTTCCAGCAAAGGTGAACTACCAAATGTACTGAACATATGAGACACTGGTTCTCTAAACAGAGGGCATCAGGCAACAAAGACAGTAAGCCCCAAGAGACAGGATGCAAGTGAGGTGTGTCCTACCAGTGGCCAGTTTGCTGCCCTGAGAGACTACAGCAGTAGCCCTGTGGGAACGGAGAGTCTGGGAGTGAGCAGGACAGATGTGTCCCCTCCCTTCTAGGAACTGTGAGGCACACCACATCTAACCACCAGTGGCAAGTGCCATGGAGGAGAGATCCAGATGTCCCATAGGTGCCTGGAGAAGAAGCAGGTGTGTGTATCTGGGAATGGGGTTTGCACTCCAGGAGGCTGAGACCGAAGAGGCCTAGGAGACTTGGCCAGGGGCCTTGTGGACCCACCCCAGGTCCAAGGCCACAGAAGAACTGTGGGGTCGGGGGAGCTCTTGGTGATGAATGCTTTCCCTGTGCTCCTCATGGGGTGTGACCGCTATCAAATGAGGCCATGAGGCTGTGTCTGCCTAGCAACCATCAGCAATGGCTTCTAGGCACCACAATGCATGGCCCAATTGTAGTCCCCTCTGCAGTGGGGAAACAGGCCCCAGAGCTGGGGTCTGTGACCATGGGGTTGGCACAGCACGTATTAATATACATGGAGCCAGCTGTTGTAGAGGAGCTGTGCCCAGATGTCTACCAACAGGAGGGCACTGAGGGATGAATGAAAGGAAGAACAGCAAAGGCCTTGGAAACAGCTCCCTTCTGCAACATAAAGTGAAATGCAGTCTGGTTCTAGAAGGAGGAAGAGACGGCCGCGTCATTTGCTATGAAATCACTTTTCTGCCTTGAGTCGGAGGCTTTATCCATGGTTGGCCTCTGGACCCTCTGGGTGGCCACCGCAAGACGTCACCAGACTCATGTGGTGCTCAGCTCCTTGAGCACAGCCTGAGATCCAAGCGCTACTGGGACACCCTGCGCCTCTGGGACATCATTAGACCTCTGTCCTTCCTTTCAAAGTCTTTGGTGACTCATTCCCAGGCTGCCTGAGCAGCTTCCCCATAGTTCCCTGGGGCTTCACTGGCTTTAAAGACACTCAGGTGAGGAGTGGCTGCCTGGGCAGCAGGATCCGGCTCACTCAACAGCCCAGACCAGCTCACAACCTAGGATGATTCAGACCACAGACAACAGACATGGAGAGATCAAAACCTGTTCCTTCCAAGTGCTAATGTCTGCCAGCCTGATTCCCAAACACAAGACAAGCCTGGCCTTTCCTACGGGAAACCGAAGGCAGAGGCTGGGAGACTGGGCCTGGAGTTGTTTTGTTTTGGCATTAGTATGGGCTTTGTGACATCGCCAAGCAGAGGTGACAGACAGGGGCCACAGAGCCCTGATTATGGTCTTTAGGACATATGGCGTCCCTCTCTGAACTTCTCTCTCCTCTTCACTCTTAAGAAGAGCTTTAGGAAATTGTCCTGTTTATCTAGGAAGAGCGTCTAAGGACAGGGACTCGGTGTTTGTGAAAGAGGAC